GGTGGTGGAAGCATCAACAAGCACAATGGCGGCGGTGGTGGTAGCAAGCACTCCAAACAGGCGGCGCCATCATCGCTGAACCATCAACCGGCGCAGTCACGACAAAAGTCAAAGGCACAGCAGGATGGAAAGGGTGGCAGTCGAAGCAAGGCTGCTTCATCAATGGCCTACGGCAGAGAGGGCGGTGGTGGCGGCGGCAGCAGCAGCTGCGCCCTGCCCACGTCATCAGTGGGCGGGCCGCGCACGACGACGGCCATGACTGCGGCCAGCAGCAGCACCACCGGCAATCACCAGCCCCAGCATCAGCCGTCGAAGCAGCTGTACACCAGCACCAACAAGCCGTACCGCCTCAACTCGGGGCGGCCGAACCCGCTGGACAGCGTCCGAGAGGAGCAGCTGCTGACGGTCGGTCTGGCCGGCCGCCCCCTCGGCCGCGACCAGGCGCTGAAGTGGGCGAAGGTGGGCGGGGCGACGGTGAACAGCGACTTCGTCTACCAGCTGACCACGCGGCGGACGCTGGAGAAGCTGCGCCGGGCGGCGGGCGCCGGCGCCGACGTGATGACCATTCTGCAGGAGGAGTTCGCCGCCCTCAGCCCCATCGTGCCGGGCGTCTACCTCACCGGCACCTTTGGCCTGCAGAAGGAGGCCTTCGAGACGGCGAAGGTGTGGGTGGTGGTGAACGCCACCACGGAGCTGCCGCTGCTGAAGCTGCCGACGCTGCTGGCGGTTCGGGTGCCCGTCGAGGACGACACCGCCCACCGCATCGACCGCTACTTCGACGACGTGGCCGACCTGATGGAGACCTGTCGCCGTCGAGGCTACGGCTCGGTGGTCCACTGCGCCGCCGGTGTCTCCCGTTCTGCCGCGCTCACGCTGGCCTATCTGCTCAAGTACACCGACCTCAGTTTGCTGGAGGCGTTCCGTCACACCCGAACCGTCCGTCCGGTGGTCCGCCCCAACACCGGATTCATGGTATGGAATTACTTGTAAAANGCTGGAGGCGTTCCGTCACACCCGAACCGTCCGTCCGGTGGTCCGCCCCAACACCGGATTCATGGTATGGAATTACTTGTAAAACGTAGTTTTAGATTTATAATCAAAGTTTTGTCTATTTCAACAGGAGCAGCTGGTGGAGTTTGAGCGCAAGCTGCGCGGCGATAGCCGCACCTCTGTGCGCATGGTGCACGTCACCGACGAGAAACGCCGAGTGACCGTGTACGTGCCCGACTTCTACCAGAAGGAGTACCCGGAGCTGTACGAGCGGGAGGTGGTCAAACAGCAGGAGATCGCCGCGGCCGCCGCCTCTGCCACCATCACCCCCGCTCCGGTGGGCGCCACTGCCTTTTCTGCCTCCAGCACCTCAGCCAACTCCAGCACCAGCAACATTGGCCACTGATCAGATGGTGGTGGTGATGAGGAGGAGGAGGAGGAGGATTTCTTGTGATGTCTTTTTGGAGATTAAGACGGTGCATGTTTGGGTGTGTGTGTGCATGGACCCGCTACCATTTATTACTGCTTAACTTTATTATTAAATGTTTTAATTCTTTTAAAACTGCTTTTTATTGGAGCGGCCACCTGTCACACTGACCGAGCAGCAACCTCATCAAGATCGATCACTGGACATTTTTTTTGTTAGATTATTTGTCAAAATTCATGTTTGTTGTTGCTTTCTGAAAATTGTTCACCCTCACCCACCCACGCGAACATAAACAGCCTGTCCAAGACAGAAGCAGACACATCTGACGCTAATGAGCGACATGATGAAAGATGCAAACATATTTCATCTTTTTCTAGCACCCAAACTTTGACGTTGGGCCTGTCAGCGCTTGTTGCCGCCTGAAAGTGGACACCTTTCAGAGGACAAATTCAGCATTCATCAGCTCCACTCGCTAACCTAGATATAATGTCTGCGCTCTCACTTTCTCCATCTCTGTCATTAGGCAACAGAGACAAAGACACATTTAAACACCGCCGTCTGCTTGGTTTCCGATTACCACTGGCCTCCACAGCACTTTAACCGACACTGCAAAAATATGAACACAAGTGAAACGACGACTATGATGATGAATTGATTAATTGCGCACCGACTTGAGAGGAGCGACGATGTGAAGATATGCACATGTTCACACTTGATCTCCCCTCTGCTGGCACCAAGTGCGCACTTGTTCTCTCCACTGCCTCTTCAAAAGTAGGCATAATAAAATATCAACTTCTGCATTCATCATCCGCCAAACTGGGCAGCCTTTTTTGTCATAACTGGGCCTCTTTTACCTTCTGTTCACAGTTAGCCTGTCATCGAAATCATCATCATCATATCGGCTTCTGCGCAAAAAGAAGGAAGGAAAAAGAAGAGTGTCCATATTATGCTCTTCGATGAATCAGCAGTGTGTGTGTGTGTGTTTGTATTTTAGAGCATCAAAAGAAACGTATCGTTGACAGTGACAGTGTCACCAAAACCTCCACCACCACTGCTACCACCTCTGTCCTCTGTGTGTCAGTGAACAGTAATTGGAATTAATTGTGTCGCGTCCAGGGGGTGAAAAGAGATGCCGGTGATGCAGTGGCAGGGCCCTGGAGTTCTGCCTCGTTGGTGACACCACCGCTGCGTGTCATTGCGGTGGCTGTCACTTTGTTCACTGGCTGCAGTAGCAGCCCAACACAGCAGCCGCTCTGCTTGGTGACACCACCGCTTTGCACCGAACTGAAGGCAGGGAGCGCCAGTGCTCTCAGGGCTGTAGTGTCACCCAATGTCTCTGTCCCCTCTCTCTCACTTTGCCTGGTAGCACACAGTTGGCCAGTTAATAGCCACCCTAATGGGCCTGCTGATCGACACTGCTCCATTTTAGTTGCCTCTGCTGAGGCTGCTGCTGCTGCTGCTGTTCATTCACTGCCGCACTGAAATCGATACAACTTGCCAAATGAGTTTAGCTTGCAAATCAGTCTCTCTGGAATTCTCTCTTTTTTCTAATCGTCGTGATTTGCCGCTAGTGAATGTGGTGGTGGTGCCTCAGTTATTGGTAATTGGGTCCATCGATGATGTGCACAAGTTTTTTATGTTGGTGGCAATTATTTTGTTGGTTAGGTTAAAACTAAAGCAACTTTATGAAATAATTATCAAAAAACGTTTTAAATTAAAACTAAACAAAAATTTTGCTTGTGTATTAACTTTTTTGTGTTAAAATAAATACAAAGTTGACACATTTACAACAGCAGCATCATGGGTCAGTGTGCTTCGTTTGATCGTAGTGAAGCTGCTGCAGCGCTGGCAGCAGTGACGACAGTCAGTCAGTCAGCGCAAATATGTCTCACCAAGGGCGGCCTTTGACAGGACGACCTTTAACCTCTCTGGCTCAATATCTATGGCTGCCAATAGAGCAAGAAAGGACAAAGTTTTGTCACCAGCAGTGTGTGGTCCCAGTTGACTCAATTCAGACGACTTTATATTTCTCGCATTTAGTCTGTCGTTTGACTTCAGACTGACTTTTATTAGTGAAAAAAAGTAGACTTGATTTTCAATTGAAAATGGTAAACTGATGTTTGTTCCTGCTAAAACGTCGGTTTATTTGTTTTACAAATCGCTTCTGTAAAGCAATGAATCTTAATATTTTATTACTGTTTTTTCAAATTAATATTTTTTTTGTTGTGCAAAAACGCGTGTTTCTGCAGTATCCACAAAAAACATTACCAGTTTTAATTTTTTAAACAGAAAAGATGAGTTTGTTAAAACAAGTGTTACAATGTGGTATCATTTTGTACAGCGTAAAACGACAAAAAGAGGAATAAAACTGATGATGATGAAGATGATAAAATCTTTGTACGAGTTTGATTGTAGGTCTCAAAGCATGTGTGTGGTTGTGGTTGTGGTTGTCTCATTGCGTAATTGTGTCCGGCTAAAGAAAAAACAAAATTTTTCAAAAAACTGAAAATTATAATATTTGACAAATGCAAAAAAAACTACTAGTTTCGAGAAACGAAAGGGGGTGCGTTACTAAACAGTGTGCGTCAACTATTATGACCATTGTGCTAAATTGTGCCATATGCAAGGAAACCTCCTCAAACATTGGAGTTGTTATCACTAACTGCCGTCGGGGTGAGCGGTGTCGTGCTCACAGAACTGCTATTCTCATAGGGACAATTTGAGGAGTTTGGAGAAAGCTGCTGATTGGAGGCGAGAGAAGTGCTGCTCCCGTACAGAGCTCCCAGTCCGGCAGCTGATCCTTGAAGGGGCGGTGAGGAAAGGGATGACGGACCTCCGGCGCCTCCGCTGGAAAAGGGCGACATGATGCTGCTGCTGGTGACGAGGGCATTTGCCGAGGTGCTCGGCGAGGAGGAAGACGCTGAAGAGGAGTTGGGTGATTTAGAGGATTTGCCTCGGCCTGAACTGCTCAGCAGTGCATCAGATGCTGATCGATGCTGCTGTTGCTGTTGCTGGTGATGGTGGTGATGGTAGGCAGCCGCAGCAGCATGAATGGGCGTGTAGGGACAGCCGGCACCGGTACTGGAGGCGTTCGGACTACCGCCGCTTCCATTTGCGCTGTTCGAGGCGGCCGCTGCGGCGCCAAACATTGCCGAAGCCGCCCCCAGGCTGCTCGAGTTGAGTCCTGGCCAGCTGAAGGCGGACTTTGCCGCAGCTGCAGCCGCCGCCGGCGACACGACGCCCTTTGAGCCCACTGTCCATCCGTTTGAATAGCCAGGTGGGGCGTAGCCACCGTAGGCCAGCGCCGCAGAGCTGGCCGCATCATCAAAAGCAGAGTTGAGCAGTCCGTTGAACTGGGCACCAAAGCCGTTGGTGGCCGCCGCTGTCGCCTGGCGAATCTGCTCATTTGCCGCATTGCGTTCTCGCTTTCGCCACTTTGCTCGGCGGTTTTTGAACCAGACCTAAACCACAAATAGAAAATACGTAAGCAAGTTAAAACAAGAGAAGACTCAATGTATTTTTTCATGAAAATCTGATTCATAATTAATAAACTGCTATGAATTTTTAAATAAAGCACATTCATTCATTAGCTGTTACAACTAATTAACTTTACTGTTAGTCAAAAGGTGAAGATTAAAAATTTAAAGCAAACGATAACTCAGTGTTACATTTTTATTTTTTTGCAATTTATGATTTTTTTTGCGTTAATGACTATTAATTTATTTTTAGTTTGCTTTGTCTTTATTCAAACTCATTTATTAACTTTTTCAACAAAATTGCTGAATAATTTAAAAATTTAGTAAAAATGTGTTTTAATTTTAATATTTAAAAATTCTGCTTTTTTGTTGCAGTAAAAAACTTTTTGTTTTTTAAAGTATTCACAACAAAAAATATTTATTTTGTTTTCACAAAAACCCCAAATTAGCCACAAATCGATTGCACATAATTTATTTACCATTTAGGCAAATTACAAGTCACACCTTCGCCTAAATTGCCTCAACTCACACACAAAATAAAGTAGTCCTGAAGCCACTACTCTATTTATTTTCTCTTTTCAAATCGTGATTGAGTGGTCAGTTTGATTGCGTGATCGATCACTGCACACACAGAGAGGCAGCCAATAACCATAGTCAAAGTCGACAAACACAGTCAACACACTCAGCAGAACTGACCTTGCCTGCTCAATAATTCATCAACTCCGACCTCATTTACCGACTTTCACTTTCAAAGTCTCTTCATTTCACTATTCTGTTATTCTCTTTTGTTTTTCCACTTGATTCACCACTGCTGACGATCCTTCTGCATTACTCATCAACTAGGGGTAAATTGGAATTTTATATTCCGCTGATGATGCTGTGCAGAGCAGAGAAAGGGAAACACTAGCATCAGCAAAAGGATTAACCGGGAGACATTTCACTGTCTTTTCAGTCCAACATTGTAACTGTCTGTCTGTCTATTTTCTGCTTGACAGTAAAGAGAAAAAGATTTCCAATTCCCTCAAGTCATCAAACGATGGTAGGAGTTTGAACGAGTTTGAAATGACAAACAAATAGCAAAAATACTCAGTTTTTTTGTAAAATAAAGAGATGTAAAACACAGCAAAAAATGCTGCATTTTATTCACTGTTTTATGTTAAGGTTCTGAAATGCACTTGAACACCATTTTTACCAACCATCATCACCATCTGCCCAAATAAGAAAAATACAACCAGACAAATTACAGCTCACTTTAATTCTCTAATTCGATTACATTAGACAAACGCAATTAGTCGGCCACTTGTTTGGCGATCACACTTTTATTCTCTTTTTTCTGCTTTGATGCGATTAAAGTTGACAATTTGCACATCAATTTCTTCTTCCTTTCCTTGCTTATCAGCACCTCGTTATCTCAGATTTGACACTTGTCCCCTA